TCCACCTCCAACCCGAAATAACGAAGCAGAAAGCCTTTGAGGGAAAAGGGCCCAACAAAGCCGGGGATGGAGGGAAAGGAAGTCAGCATCCACGGGAGCGGGGCAGCACCGCAGTGGGTCTTTTTCTATTAGTAGTACTAGTAGTAGTAGTCGTAGTAGTACTAGTAGTAGTAGTCGTAGTAGTACTAGTAGTAGTAGTCGTAGTAGTACTAGTAGTAGTAGTCGTAGTAGTACTAGTAGTAGTAGTAGTAGTCGTAGTAGTAGTAATAGTAGTCCCTTCAATGAGATGGACTCAGCCCTTTCCGCACCCACCCCCACACCCACCGCCTTCGGTTGGAGTGGTGTGTGGGGAGGAAAGAACGAGATGGGGCGGTGGGTGGGAAGCTGTGGTCAAGGAGCCGATAAACCGCAAATGCCGGGGGATATCCCATCGAACGCGACGTCACGGCGGCTGCGCTTTTTGGTTGTGGTTGTGGGTATTGTGAACTTTTTCCACCGTTTCTATTTACCAATAACACGGCTGATTGAATTGCACTTTTTTTCCCCTTTTGTTGGGGAAAATTTAGGACTTGAAAGTAAAGGAAAGAGGAGTGGGAATACAAAAGGCATCATCGGTTTAGTACGATTTGAATATTTACCGGCATGAGGTGATCAGTAATGACGGTCGGATATTTTGATTGTATGTGGGTTGAATTTCACGTCCACACCTGCCCTCTCCTCATCCCTTGATGCATGTCTTAGGCTTGGGAGCCCACACAATCCGATCTTAACATTTACTTAAGCTCGGTATTTTGACTTAACGCTTCGAAATCCTTCTGAGGCCTATCCGCGAACGCGGTATGACAGTCAGTTAATATTTGGATCTCCTCAATAAGATCAGTCAATTGCGAGGCCGCCATGGCCAAAAAGATAAGTATCGCCAACATCAAGATACCGCTCAGAGTTGGCTGCGCGAATGCCGCAAGCGCACACTGCGTGAATACTAGTAAATAATACGACAAAGACTCATCACGAACTTGATTATTCTGCGAGTATTCTTTGGTCAAACCACCCATTGAGGTCAGAATGACGTTCGCCACGCTCGAAAGGGACAATGAAAGGAAAAAACTAAGAACAATCGCACCAATGATCAGCTGCAGAAATCCGATCTGAACTATATACGCCGCTCCCCACAAAGCTATGACTAGAGCGATCAAAGCGATTGCGGACACAAAAACAAGTTCGAACATCGCAACCTTTGAGGATGATGGTTGCTGTAGTTTTTTCTTGATAATAACAAAAAAAAGAGAGGAAAGAATGGGAATGTCAAAGTAAAATAGAAGTTGAAAAAGGGTGTCTTGCTTTTAGTTTATACTAAATTAATGAAGGCAAGAAGCCATGAAGTGTTAGATACTATCTTTACTTCCCCTATGAAATATGGTTAACGAAATAAACATGCAATCACGGCAAAGGTAAGCGAATGATATGTGCTTTGATTTTCTGTTGCGCTATAACACCAATCCATGAAACATGTGTTCATATTTGAAAAATTTCGTCTCAGCCTATTTTTATATAATTTAATAATTAAAAATACGCTCTCTTATTGATTTTTTTTTTGCCCTGTTGATTTCATTACAATGGATAACCTTAACTACGCATAAATTAAAAAAATCGAAATGTATAAATTTACTATTTGTATATTCTTTTACCCGTTCCGAAGAACTGGTGCATATTTTCTTCGGAAACCTCAGATAAGAACATGCAATATAAAGAAAAATAATAGATGTCAAAGAGAAGTCAAAATCCTTGGATACCCCTCCCTCCTTCTTTGCTTCCTCTTAAAATACGTACTATTGGACTCCTAGATTCTACTTGGGGTTGCTTAACAAAATACATGTACGAGTCGATCTCAAAAAGCACTAAAGGGCTCAATGTTTCCCTAGTTTCACGCGTTCCCTTTATATGCCGCCACCTTTCGAAAATTGAAGGGCAAACATACATATTACCGGTTATCGATCGATCTATCTATATAGATAAAGAGATAGATAAATAGATAAATAAACTTGGTCTTTTTTCTTTTCTGGATTTATATTATATAAAGTCAAATGAATTATTAAAACTTAATATTAACGCACATGCTACTCATAAAGGTAGGATCCATTCTTTAATAACGGTAGTGATCGGGCTTGAACGGTCCATCGACTGGGCAGTTAAGGTACTCAGCCTGCTTCGGGGTCAGTTTGGTGAGCTTCGCGTCGAGGTGTGCGAGGTGCAGGGCGGCGACCTTCTCATCCAACAATTTGGGCAATAAGTACACCTTCGACTTCTCGCCACGTGGGTACTTGTCGTTATCCCGATTCGTCCAGAGCTCGATCTGCGCGAGGACCTGATTGGTGAACGAGTTCGACATCACGAAGGAGGAATGGCCGCTCGCGCAGCCGAGATTCACCAGCCGGCCCTTTGCGAGCAGAATGATGTGGCGGCCGTTCGCCATTGTGTAGCGATCCACCTGGGGCTTCACCTCCACGTGCTCCTTCGCGTTCGCCTCCAGCCACTCGACCTGGATTTCGGTGTTGAAATGCCCAATATTGCACACGATGGCGTCCTCGCGCATCCGCACAAAGTGCGCGGCGGTGATGATGTCGTCATTCCCGGTGCAGGTGACGAACAGGTGCACGCTCTCGATGACGTCGTCGATCAGGACGACCTGGTAGCCCTCCATCGCGGCCTGCAGGGCGTTAATGGGGTCGATTTCGGTCACCAGCACGCGGGCGCCCAAGGCGCGCAGGGCCGCCGCGCAGCCCTTCCCAACATCGCCGAAGCCGCAGACGCAGCAGGTCTTGCCCGCGATCATGACGTCGGTCGCGCGTTTAATCCCGTCCACCAGGGACTCCCGGCAGCCGTAGAGGTTGTCGAACTTGCTCTTCGTGACGCTGTTGTTGACGTCGATCGCGGGGATCGCGAGGCGGCCCTTCTGCTGGCGCTTGTACAAACTCATCACCCCCGTGGTGGTCTCCTCGGAGATGCCGTAGATCGCGGGGATCAGCGCGGGGTACTCCTCGTGGACCAGGCTCGTTAGGTCGCCGCCGTCGTCCAGGATGAGGTTCGGCCGGCCGTCGCCGGAGAAGCCCTTGAGGGTCTGCCGGATGCACCAGACGTACTCCTCCTCGGTCTCGCCTTTCCAGGCGAAGACCGCCACCCCGCGCTTCGCCATCGCCGCGGCGGCGTTGTCCTGGGTGGAGAAGATATTGCACGAGCTCCAGCGCACCTCCGCGCCGAGCGCGCAGAGCGTCTCGATCAGAACCGCGGTCTGGATCGTCATGTGCAGGCAGCCCGCGATTTTGGCGCCTTTGAGGGGCTGCGCGCCGCCGTACTCCCGGCGGAGCTCCATGAGCCCGGGCATCTCATTCTCCGCCAGGGTAATCGCCTTGCGGCCCCACTCCGCGAGGCTGATATCGCAGACTTTGTAATCCGTCATCGTGGCAGTCGAGTGCGGGTCGGAAAATTCGGGTAAGAAAGCTTTGAAAAAAAATATAGAAAGGGCGATGCTGTTGAGGTTGTGCGGTTGCGCCGTGCCAAAAAGGACCGAACGCGAAAAGGGGAGGGGGGAGAAAAGGGGAAAATATAAATGGAAAAAAAGGCAGTAAAAGACCCATCACGGCTGCTTGCCCATAGAAAAAGAAGGGTAAAAAGAAATATTGGGTTTAGTTTTTGCTTGTTTTTTTTACTTCCCGTTCGGTTCCAGCTTGATATACTCGCACCCGGTGGAGTGGTCGCGATAAACCGATCCCGTCGAGCCCGGATGCTCCGTCCACAGCTGGGCGTAGCGCAGGACCGTCTCCACCGCGTTCCGCACCATCTCGCGATCGTCCCGGCGCTCCAGCGCGAGGCGCTCCGCCTCGCCAAAACAATCCGCGGACGCCCCCCCTTCTGCGCGCCCCGACGAAGGCGAAAAAGAAGAAGAAGGGGCCGAAAAGCCCCTCGCGTCGGCCGACCCGGCCGGATTTCCCGAGGGCGGAAGGCCGCCCCGACGCGCGTCGTCCTCCAGCGCGGTCGGATCGAACGCCGCGAGCCCGGGAAGAGGTCGGCTCACGACGTGCAGGACAAAACTCAACGCCCCCACCACCCGCCCGGCGCTCTCCACACCTTCCATCCTCGCTTTCGGCGAAACCCCCTCCCACGGAAGCCCAGGGGATTCCCAGGCGGGGAGGGCGGGTTGCAGGAGATCCACCCGGGCCTCGCCGCCCATCCGCTCAATCCAGCCATACAGCAAAGGAAAAGACCCCCCACAAGGGTCTTGGGGATGGCCCGAGACGCGTGGGGCCATAAACCGCAGCTCGACAAAAGTGCCCCGCGGATTCGCGAAGATCGGCCGGGCGCCGGCCGCGAAGGCGGCGGTCACCACCCGCCCCGCCTCCGCATCGCCCGCGCAAATGCCAATGCTGAAGGTGTCCATGTATTGTTATGGTTTATGATGGGTTCCTTGTCTAGTGGGCGCTCTAGTTTACGCGGACGAGGGAAAGAATCCGGGATAGAATCAATAATAAGCATAATAATAATAATAATAATAATAATAATAATAATGAAAATCGAATGGATGGTAAGACGGCGGCCGTCGTAGTCTTTGGTGCGAACTTCGCGGAGCCTACGAACCATTGGGGTTCTAATGATTAAGTTCGGCGTTTTCGCCCTCCGGGTGGGTGGAACTCGGGAAAGTGAGACATGGCCCTGGATTTAAAGATGCTGAAGAAACACTCGCTCGGCAGACCGGAATGATTTTCAATACCAAAAAAAAAGTTGTAAAGAAGCCCATCCTCCCCCCCCACGTCTAGTGGACTATGCGCCGATCTCGGCGACAACAAACAACCCCCTCAAGAAGAGAAATGAAAGGGGCTGCTGCGCATAAAATCCACCCCGCGACCGCTCACCCCGGCTCGCGCACTTAGACGCACCTTTTCACGCTCCCTCTCTGCTTTAGTCCTGCCTATAAACAGGAAAAAACCCACACCCCTACCAATCCTTTTCACGTCATGCTTCTCAACAGATCCATCCATATATAAATATATATATATATATATATATACCGAGAGAGAGAGATTATAAAGAACGTCCCGACAAGGGGTCCTCCGCGGGCTCCTGCAAGAGGGCTCTTTCCTTTTCGAGCAAGAAATCCTCCTCCGGCCCCTGGTCCGCGGCCGGGATGAGCTCCTCGAGGATCCCAAGGCTCCACCGGGTGTAGTTGACGTGCTCGAGATAAAAAACCCACCTCGCCGCCCAGCGGACCCAATTCAACGTCACCCCGTGGTCCTGCATCGTGTCGTAGAGCTCGTTGAGGAAATCGAGCTCGAGGTGCCATAACGACGGCCCGTCGTAGAAGAAAAGCTCCCGCAGCCAGCGGGCGTGGTCGGTGGTGCCCCAAAGCAGCGGCGAGGCCGCGGCGTCGTACGCGCGGAGGTTCCGCATGTGCATCCCGCCCTCATTGCACGCGATGGAGAAGTGCAAAACGACGCCGTGCCGCGTTATCAGAACCTCCAGGGGGTACCAGTCAACAAAGGTCAGGGCCGCGCTGATTTTGGGCGGGTTTTTCACCTCCACCGGGGCGTAGGCCACCACGCGGGCCTGCCGGGTCGCCGCGACCGCCGCCCGCGTGAAGCGCACGATGTTGGTCGCGCGATCGTAGGCGACGCCCCAGGCCCCGGCGTCGTCGGCCGGGCGCGACGGCGATGCCGAAAAGATCGAAGAACCCTCCGGAAGAAACGGCGGCGGGGGCCTCGTCTCGGATTCGTTTCGCATTTCATCGCATAAGTCTTTGTAGAGTGAGCGGAAAAGCTGATAGTTGCCGGGCCCGTAGCGCTCCCCCATCGCCCGCGCCCAGCTCGTCGCCTCGTCCTCCAATTGGAGGGTGGATAACGCGCGATGGGGGGTTCGCATCGGGGAAAGGGGGAAAGAAGAGGAGCCCCGCGGGATGGGGGGGGGCGGAGTGGCCGGGGAGGCCTGAAAAAAAACCCGGCGGACGTGGGGGGATCCCGGCTTGTCGAAAATTAAGCCGGCCGCCCGAAACGGCGGTGGGAAACTCCGTAGCGCGGGCGAGTTTGGCCGAACGCGCATTGCAAAAGAAGGAATTTCGATAATAAAACTAATGGGAATAATGGTTAGCCAAGGAATAAAGAAAAGCGTGATACGATAAAATATAATAAAGATACCTATATTGATTTTTACAAAAAAATAAATAAATAAATAAATAACTCGTTTCTTTATACACGAATCGAACCTACACAAAGTAGGGAAACCTCCTTCCACAACTAATGAAAAGGAGTAAGGGGACTATGTGAAAGAATTAAGGGATGCGCTCCCCTTTGATCACTATTCTCAGATTAGCACCTTTAAAAATAATTATAAAAGAACAAATGGTAAAAAAAAAGTACAAACGTATTTTTAACTGCATAAAAAAAGGAAAAAACGTTCAATGGGAATAAAAATGCATTCCACAGGAGAATAGACCATTTAGTGGTTACCCTTTTTTTGTTGTTACGCATCCTATTATCTTAAATTTTAGAACACCAATGTTCCTTTCAATTATTATTCGTCTACCAACCACAGCTATTCGTTGTACATTCACAACCTCTCTCTCGCTCACTCTCTCTCTCTTTCTTTTACAGTCTGGCTGCCTCCGCTTTCGTCGATATTATTGCTCATTCGATTTCAGCGACCAGAGCGGGACACTTCCGGGGGCCGTCGCGTAATTCTCGTCGAAGCGATAGAGTTTAATCAGCCCGTCATAACTCGCGCTGGCGAAGCCGTGGCCGTCGGGGTGGAAGGTCATCGCGGTAATAGTCCCGAAGTGGCATCGCAGCTGCCCGAGCTGCGTCCCGTGCACGCGGTGGAAGAACTTGACCTCGAAGGTGGACTGGCTGCCCTGCGTGGTGACCGCCGCGGCGTCCATCCCGCCGCCCAAAATGACGTGATCGGCGACCGGGCTAATCGACACGTCGTTGATCGGGACGTCGCTCTGGTAGGTCTGCAGGATACTCAGCTCGCGCTGGTCCAACAGGCAGGCCGTGCAGTCCGTCGAGGCCGTCGCCAGCGTAAGGGCGTCCGCGTCGAACTTGAAGCGGTTGATCACGTAGCCCGGGTGGATCTCGCGGGAGCGAATCACCTTGTTCGTCTCGACGTCCAAAATGTGCATGAAGGCGCCCTCAGAAAAGTAGATGGTGTCGTTCGTCATGCCCCACGAGGCCCACGTGATCATCTCCGGCGACTCCGTCTCGAAGGTGCTGGTCGGGTTGAAGGCCGTCCGCGCGGGCGCGATGTCCTCGCCGGCGGGGGGGGTCGTGAAGGGAAGGTGGTAGAGCTGGATCCCCGACTTCATGCTCGCGCGGCCCTTCGTCGCGACCATCAGCAGGGCGTCGTCGTGGGAGAAGCCGACGCTCGCGCCGGAGGAGAGCGGGCGCGCGACCGTCCCCAGCAGGGCGCCCGTCTCGACGCTCCACAGCATCGTCTCCTCCCCGGCGCTCGCCGTCGCGAGGAGGGTGGAGTGACGGTTGACGTCAAGGGCCACCATCGCGGGGTCGAAGCCGCGCGAATTCCCGGGCTTCCCCACCGTGGTGTAGGACCCCATCATCTCCCCGGTCTTGGCGTACCACCCACACACGCTGCAGTCGGTATCCCGCGAGGAGGAGAACAGCAGGTCGCCGTCGGCGTTGAACTTGAGCATCGTGACGCCCTTCATATGGCCGTGCAGGGCGACCCCGCTCAGGTTGATCACGGAGGACATGAATCGCACGAAGAAATCCTGCCAAAAAGAAAAAAGAAAAGGGGAAAAGAACAAGGATAAGACAAACCCAACCCATAAAAAAAAAACCCTGCGGGTGGTGGAAGGGGAGGGCGTTGGGGGGTCGCCCCAATTGGCAAGAAAGCACCAACAAAATAGGTCGGAAATAGAAAAATAGCGAAATGGGAAATGACAGGCCCAACGGTCACAAAAGGACCAAAGGACGGTAAACCCGAATAAGAACCCTCGCAAAGGACCACATATAAAGATAATAAATCTAAAAAAAAAAAGGAAAAAAATAAATAACGAAGAAAGCTCGTCTCTATGGCACTCGCAGTAGGATCTCTCCCTACCTCGCTCTTTTTTTTTCTTTTCTTTTTCTCCCATCGATCTACCAACCCAACGTCTTCAATCTGGTATTCACCTCACGCAAAAACGCCCCTTGGCGATCGTCCCCCCCCATATTAAATGCTATTTTTTTACTCTGCTGAAGGTATCGCAAAGCCGGCGTCGCCGCGGTATCGAGGCTCGTAATCTCCCCTATCCGCGGCTTTTCCCTGTCATGGAGGCTTATCTGGCGCTTTACACGTTCCATTCCAGCCTGGATAAGCCCCATCAGCCCGCTCAACAGCTCATTCTCATCCTTGTCCAAACTCCACGTCGAGGATTCTTTCAGATCCTCGAGTTGATGAAAAAGATGGCCTTCCATCGCGCGATGATCTTGGGAAAGGTGCGAAATCTTATCCGCCAAATCCCGACGAAAGGCATCAAGGCGTGAGGTGGTTTGCTGGTGATACTTCTCCAGCTTTTCTGAGAGCTGCAGCTCTTGATACTCCATACTATGCGTCAGATACTCTAAAATACGCTGAAGATTATTTTCCAAAGAGCCCTTGAGATGGATGTCGTCGCCATTCGAGGAAGCAAATTCGGCCAAGGATACGACACCGCTCGGATTCGCCGTCCTAGGGCCTTCGGCATCGTCCGTGGGCCCGTTCTTCTCTTTCGGGGGATCCGGCGAGTTCTCGCGTGGGCAGGATACTTCTCTAGGATGGATATCTTTTTCTTTTAATTCACCAGAAAACCCGGAGCGAATTTCCCGAGGGGTGATGCTGTCTAACTTCGCCACCAAGCTTTGCACCATCTTATCCAGTCCTGAAAGACGGGCGGAATTCAGAAGCCCCACGTGCGTTTCGCGATTGGAAGGGTCGAACTTCTCATCCTTGAAAGATCCTGCGGATTCGGTAAATCCAGCAGGGGATTTCGGATTCGTGTAAAGATAAGGCGGAAGTTGCTCTTCGCGGGGCGATGGAATTAAACCGCAGCGAGGGCAGCCAACGCCGCCAGGAGGCATCGCCATAACAGGCATCATGAAAACATAGGGCGAATAATGCGAAGCAGAAGAAGGAGGAGGAGGAGGATGGCAGCCGGCGTGTTCGAGGCCCCACGGAAACGAGGCCCCAGACATCCCGGGAGGGACTCCCCCACCGCCCTCATGGCGGGGCGGAAAAGGCGGAGGGGAGGAAAGAGGGGCCGCGGTAGAAGCCCCTTTTCTGAAAGTCCCGGCCGCCGTGCCCGGTGAATTCGCCGCGATCGAACGCGCAAAGGCAGGCGGATGTAAGACATATCCATGGGTGGAATCCTCAGGCCACGGTGAGTAGGGGGGTTTGGGGGAGAATTCGGAAGCCGCCGCGGAGGGTTCCCAAAGAGGGGTAGTATTGGAATCCAAAGGCTCGATTGAGGAGGCCGGAATCCCCCTCCCACCACCACGCGGGAGAGTTCCCGTGGTGGGAGTGCTGATCTGCACGGGCGGCGGCGAAGATCGGGCATCCCGACCCGCGGAGGCCCGCCCGCCCCGTTGGCGAAGAAGTAAACACTGCTCGATGCCATGACGGACAAGCAAAAAGTTCGTTTTCGACGTTTGTCGAAACTGCAATAACGGAGGCACACCGCCACGCTCGTTCCCGGCAATTCCCTTCTTGCGAAATTCCCGAATCCCGAGGTTATGGCTTAAATCCACCGACTCCAAGACGCTATCCTCCAAAACCCCTGTGTGGACGAACGCCTGCATCCCCGCCAGCGAGGCCGCGTTTCGGCTGAAGTCCAAAAATCGCAGCGTGGAATCCCCCCGGAGGGTCTCCGCCAAGCCCAGGAGCGTGAGGTCCCCCAAGTGGTTATCCGAAACCTCCAATCGCATCAGGCCCCCTCCCTTCGCCAACGAAAGCCCCGTCCGAGGCGAATCGAGCGAATGAGGGGAATGATTTACGTGGTTGGAACGATTATAATCCCTTTCCGCGGCGCGTAGGGAGCGCTTCCAGTCCGCCAGCCCCGCGGCATCCCGCCCGAGGCAAACCAACGCCCGCAGCCCCCGCGCGCAGGCGTCCGTCAACCCACACCCCGCAAACGACACCTCCGCCAGACGGGAAAACCGCGCGGAGGGGGTTGTCGTCAAGATCGAAAAAACCCGCTCGGAAAGCGAAGAACTCCGTAAGGAAAGCGAGCGAAGTTGGGGGCACTTCACCAGCGCACGCATCAACCGCGCCGCCCCTTCCGGCACCCCGTCAAGGGGAAATCCGGCGAACTCGAAATGGGTGAGGGAATCCCGGCTGAGGTCGACGACGTGGCGAACCCCCTCCACGAGCTCGGCCAGGACGCGCCGCGGCGTGGGAGGATTCAACGTCATCCCGGCCGGCCCAAGCCGAGGCGCCGGGAATCGATCGCTCGCGTTTTTCACCCCTCCCGCGAAAGGCCCGTCGGCTCGGCCGCTTCGCGGGCGAATCAAAGTCGCGGAAGCCCCTTGCGGAAGCCCCGGAAGGCGGCCCCCCCCACGCAGAGAAATCCGCACGAGGGTCCCCGTCAAGACCCGCCGTGGCGACGGGGCCCCCCTTGTACATGCGCAGCCCGCCGCCACTTTCCCCCCGCAGACCGTACAAAAAGGATAAGGCCGCGAGGAGGCTCCTTTCGCGCGAAAAGGGCCTTTTTTTGTTTTGGAGGACGAAGCAGGAGGGGAGGGAAAGGACGACGAACCCCCCGAAATCGGCCGGCGCGGGGCATCCAGTCCCACCCGACTGAGGGCCAGGGCGAAAACGCGAATATCGTGCAGGGCAACGCCCTCGAGATCGACCGCCATCGAGGACGGATCGGGTGAATGGGTGAAGCCCTCAAGGGGCTTGAGGTGCTGCCGCTGGCAGGCCGCCAGGTACTCCTGCGCGATCGCCTGCATGGCGTAAAGCGGGGAGGAAAGGGTGCCGCTAAAGCCGTTATTCTACACCCGTCCGATATCCGTGGGTCTGGGGTAGTTTAGGGGTGAACGCAAACAAACACGACGGCTCTCAGAGGAAAGGGTTGCCCATGCACACCAGCACCGGATCACATAAATCGCACAAATGGATTGCAAACAACAAAAAGAGAAGCTTTTTGGGATCCCTTATAACTCCTGTAAGATGGAAAGGGACTTCCCCTCTAGCAAAGGAAAGGAAAAGAATGGTGGGGTTTAAAGGGAATATCAGTGAATGATCGA